GGCCCGAATCCAAATTTTATGGCATTGTTGAATTTTGGGTTGCTGCTTATTCAATATGTAGGGTCTTGGGAAATGATTTGCAGAGGTTATTTTTACAACTTTTATTTATAACTTTTTTAATCATTAAATATATTAATATAATATAATATTATGCATTTTGATAAAAAAAAAAGACAAAAATCAAATGTTATATAAAATTAGAGATTTTTATTTTGTAATTCGTCCTATAATGAATCGTAAGATCAAGACCATAAAAAAGGAGGGAGAGATGGCTCAATATCATGAGTACACCTCTTTTGATGGTTTAAATCTTGCAGTTTGTTTTATAACATATTGTAAGATAATTTTTGTATAAAATTATGTACGAAATTATATATAATAATTGTTCCTTAAAATCCTAATTATTTTTCTTAGGATTTTTTTTTATGAGCTTTGAGTCAATTTATGTTTGATTTTGAGTTTATGTTACTTTATTTACTAGCAAATTGGAAAAGGGAAAGGGAATCGAGACAGAACAATAAAAAATTAAGAATAAAGTGATGTTTGATTTTAGTATTGATTTCAATGAATATATATTGAGAGTTTTTAATAGTCTTTAATAGTTCTTTAATTTTAAATGCTGTAATGGAGTTGGAGATTTTCAATGGTTGGGCTAAGGATTAAGTTGATGATGCCTGTGGAGGTAATAGTGATTTTAGGTTTTCTTTTCTTTTTCTTTTTCTTTTTTTTTTTTAAGGAAATTGTGAGAATGAGGTGAGATTATGATGATTCAATTTACTAAAAAAATGGGGATTGTGAACCAAAAAGAAGAAGAAAAAAAAAATTAGAAAAGAACTTTATATGAAATAAAGAAGAATTTAAGGATTAAAGTGACTAATAATAAAATTAAAATTAATGATTTTAAAAAGGTTTGAGAATTATTTCTGGTCTAAATGTAAGATTAAAACAATATCTAATATTTATAATTAAGGTTAAAAACTAAATTTAATATTTAGTCAATAAATTTATGATGTCAACTCTTATTATCATATGATATGAGATCTACGTATAATTTTAATTTCAGCAATCCTTTAGCACACCTTTCAATAAATAAAGTCAAATATAAATGTCGTTTCACTTTTTACTTAACATGGTACATAACAGTATGAAGTAAAGAAAATAGTTGAAAAATAATTTTTATATAATTTTATATTATTTAACAATTAATTATTTTCACTCAATTAAAATATGTAATATTATATTCATATATTTACTAAATAATGCATAAAAATTATATAAAAAATTTATCCTCGTATCATTAATCACTTGATAAACTTTGTTGTTGGTGTAGCTTCTCCCTTATAATTTATTATATTCTATATCGTGTGTGTATATATATATATATGTTCAATGACTCAATAATGAAATAAACAACTAATTTGCCATAAATCATATAATATTTTAAGAAAATAAGTAGTACATATTTTGAGTTAATATAATTTTTGATATTTGTTCGATTCAATTATAGAAATATAATATAAATACAATTAATTCAATCAGTTCTTACATATTGTATATATAATTATATTTTTAAATTTATCTATTTTTAATTTTATAATAAAATTTAATTTTTTTAATGAGTATACTTGGTAATCTGTTAAACTAAAAGGTATATTAAACAGCATCCAATGTTCTAATAGAGTTATATATATGTCACAAATGTAACATTTAATTCCTTCTATTTAAAAAATATATAAATGATTGAGAGATAATTTTTTGTATAACTTTTATATATAATTCTATATATTATTTAATAATTGATTCCTTTCATTCCATTGAAATTTATAATATTATACGTATTAATTCATTTAATAATATATAAAAATTATATAAGAAAATTATATACAAAAATTATC